GGGGCGATGGCCCTCAGAGGCGGGGCGATGGCCCTCAGAGGCGGGGCGATGGCCCGTTGGTAAAGTAACTGCCAGGGAAGCATGAGGCCCTGAGCTGATAATCTTAGTGGTGAGGACATGGAGACAAGAGGGTCCCTGGGGCTTGCAGGCCAGCTAGTCCTGACCAGTTGATGAGCTCCAGGTTCACTGAAGAGAGATTTTGTCTCAAAAATACGGTGGAGAGTGACTGAGGAGGACACTTGGTCAACCTCTGGCCTTGAGGTACACTTACGTAGACCAGTGTGCGCAAACACACTCGTGCGCCGTACATACCAGCGGGGAGGGAGTCCCCTCATCAAGCATGTTCGATACCAATGCTGTGCAAACTGTAGTTGCATGAGTCCATGTTCAGAGTTTAACCCAGTCGGGAGGGGTGATTCCATCAAAAAGACCAACAGAGCCAGCTCTCCACAGTTCCAGCTACAGGGGCGTCAGGGACCTACCAGCAGGCTTGAAGGTCATTAAGGTTGGGCCTCTGCCTCACAATCAGCACCTTGTAAACCCAGGACTGGAAGCAGCAGGACTCTGATTCCTGGTCACAAGAATAGGATGTGAACATCTCTGTCCCTGAGTAGAGAAGATGTCTAAACTGCCCCAAAGACCCTAGGATGATGCTCCAGCTGGAGGCCTCTTGGCAAAGGAAGGAGATACACTGTTGTCCCTCCCTCAGAGTAAATCGAAGCTGAGCACGGTGGTGCTGGCCTCAGTCCCAGGACTGTGAGGAACTCAAGGTCTGCATGGTCTGCACAGAAAGTCCACCTCGCCCCGCCCCCAGGGTAGAGAGAGCTCAGCAGTTAAGAGTGCTTATCGCCTGCCAGAGGACCTGAGTTTGGCCCCCAGCACCTATGATGGGTGACTCACAACCACCTGTAACTCCAGCTCCAAGAGATCCAATGCCTTCTTCTGGGTTCCTTGAGCACTCACACATTTATACACAAAAATAAGCTGACTTTTATAAAGTCAACCCACATGAGCCTGTCAGTCAGGAAAATGCCCCCAGAAAGCTGTATGTTCCAGACTTTGGAGATAGTGCAGGGTTGGGGAGACTGCCCAGGAAGCAGGGGCACTTGCGGCAGAGCGTGAGCACCCGGGTTCGATCCCCAGGACCCAGGTGGTGGAAGGAGAGAACTGCCCGTGGATAGCCACACATGCACATAAATAAAGAAATGTTTTAAAAGAATGTTTACACTTTTAGAAGATTATTTTTATTCTTAAATTTGTATTTGAGACAAGGTCTCACTATATAACCTGGCTGGCCTGGAACTCACTGTAGGCCAGCAGCACTTGAACTCACAGAGAACAACCTGCCTCTGCTTCACAACTAGGATAAAAGGCAAGTGCCACCATACCAAGCCTATTTTTTTTAAATTTTTAATTATGTACGTGTGTATGTATGTATGAACACAGGCCCAGGGATGCCAGAAGAAGGCATCAGATCCCCTGGAGCTACAGTTACAAGCAGTCAGGAGCACCCAGTGTGTGTGCTGGGAACCACACCCAAATCCTCTGCAAAAGCAGCAAATGCCTTTAACGACTGTGCCATTTCTCTAGCCCCACAGCAGCAGTTCTCAGCCTGTGGGTCACGACCCCTCAGGGCCTAAGACCATTGGAAAACACAGACATTTGCATAGGATTCAACTGTATGAAGGGCCGCAGCACTGGGAAGGTTGAGAACCACTGCCCTAGAGGGTCTTAGAATCGCTCCTTCCTCTGACCTAGCAGCCACTCTGGGATGGGATCCAAAACAAGAGAAAGGCGTTAGAAATTATTCCAAAAAAAAAAAAATAGCAAAACAAATTTCCTCATTAAAAAGCTGAAAAAATTAAAACCAGTCCAACTGGAAAAAAAATTTTTAATTTTTGGGGTATGTTAATTTGATGCATTACCTAGAACTCATTTGTCGAAAAGTCCAAAATGTTTTAGCATAAAAGAAAAATTAAGCTTCAAGCTAGGTGGAAAACAAGGCTGCATCAAAATAAATATTAACAGCAGTAGCCCTGGCCTGGAGAGATGGCTCCATCTATAAAGAACCTGCTCTGCAAACAGGAGGTCCTGAGTTCCATCCCCAGAGCCAACGAGGAGGCAGACATTAGTCCCAGTACTCAGGAGGACCAGGTCAAGGCCATCTGATACATAGTGAACAAGGGGAGACCAGCCTGAGCTACAGGACCCTGAGTGAGAGAGAGAGAGAGAGAGAG